TTAAGAAAAGGGCGACGGCCTTGAGATATGATCATCAACCTGACCGGCCCTCGGTTATTCAAGATTGTCGTATTTTACTCATTTGACTTCAGTGGAGTTGGAACTCATCTGTATTTCAACAGTTCAGTCCAGGGGGGGTGTACCAGCTGAGGTAGGCCAGCTGGTGATAGTGTCTTAGGAGAGGCTACTGGTTCATGCAGATTACCGCGTAGGGAAAAAAAATTAGGGTGTTCAAGCAAAAGCAGTTCCCGGAAAAAAGAAAAAAAGAAAAAAAAGCAGTTCCACGAGAAAAAAAAAAAACAAACCGGTGCGATAAGTTATTTAGCTGTTAGCACAGATTGACAGAAAACGAAAAAATCGAAAGAGCAACAACAACCAAAAAAAAAAAAAAAAAGGAAGAGAAGAAAAACAATTGGCCCAGATTTACGAAAACGAAAAAAAAAAATCTAAAGGGCAACAACGACAAAAGAAAAGCGAAGGAAAAAAAGGCTGTCAGCTCAGATCTACGAGGAGGAATGTGGAGCAAAGAGTGAAGAGTTGGAGTCCCTCCCCTCTACATCTGTCCTTAATCTACTATCCTTGGGTTAAACCTCCCAACCCCCTAGACAAAGAGGGGGACCAGATACAAATCACCCCGGTATATATTGTTCCCCTTCCCCTACCCACCCCCCGGGACCATTCTCCGTCAAATATCCAATCATGCCGTACCTACCGGTAGTAGGCAGCTGATCTAATCACACAGCAGCCACCCTTGCGAGCTCCTTTCCCAAGGGGCAGTCAATTATAGAAGAGCGGTCTCAGAATCAATCAATCAATCAATCAATCAATCAATCAATCAATCAATTCAATCAATCAATCAATCAATTCAATCAATCAATCAATCAATCAATTCAATCAATCAATCAATCAATCAATCAATTCAATCAATCAATCAATCAATCAATCAATCAATCAATCAATCAATCAGTCAATCAATCAGCCAATTATAGAAGTGTGGTGTAACAATCAAACAATCAATCAATCAAACAATCAATCAATCAATCAATCAATCAACGAGGCTACCAGAGTGGCCCGGGACCACTTGCCCGGCCGGGGCAAAAGAGAAATAAAATATAAAAATAAAAATATTTTTATTTTTTATTTTTATTTTTAAATTTGGTACAAATTTCGATGTAACCCTGAGGCAAATGTTGTTCAGTTTATATTTCTGCAAAACATAGTTTTGCAAGGAATATGAGTGTGAGCGATATATATAAAACCAAGTTGCGAAATCACACAGCTGACCAAGTAGTCGTGTCCCAAGCAGAGAGTACAAATGCACCGAGAAAACCATCCATATAGAGCAATACAATGAAGTAATGAGCCAATGTTCAAGCCCATAGGCCACACCAACACAGTATCCAAAGTCGCTCTGCTCTGTCTGGCGCTCAGCACCCAGCCTACTCTACCAGACTATCCCACCTACAGCTGGTTCACGCAACAGGATCACTTCGACTCACGAGGACCAATGTACATGACTGCCAACACCATCGCCGACCTCTCTTCATGTACCAGGTACATATCTCGCCACCCTCAATCAGACCTTGATTACCCCACACAGCGCCTCCTTTCCTCAAGACCACCTGATCATCCGCTGTACCCCCTGGTGCCCAGCAGCCCGGCTATGGCTGCCTGCGCCCTGCTGCCCTGCAGCGCCCCACTACACCTCTTGCGCCCCGTCAGTGCCCTTGGCAGCAGCGCAGCATCAAGCGAGAGCGCAGCAGCACTTCCGCATTGCCAGCGCTGGCCAGAATGCCTGGCCTGGGCTGCCTCATTCCTTTTGTGGAAGTGGCAGCCTCCTAATTGCTGCGTGTGGCCTGGCTGGAAGCTTCCAGTAACTTCCGGTTGGGTCCCAGACCCTGCGCCCAGGCCCGAGACTACAGTTGAGGGCCTGGGCTCTTTGCAGTTAGGCACGGCCTGAGTCTCCGGACTTGGGCGGTTTGCTGCATCTGTGCAGGGCTCCCAGGCAGGTGCGTTGGCACTACTGCTTTTGCAAAGGCCGAAGGCCTGTTTCCCAATGTATCGGCCCTGCTTTGTGTATGTGTGCCCAGGCGCAACTGTCAAGGCCTGGGCCAACTGTATGACGCAGCAATGTGAGGCTCACGCGTCGCGCTGCGAGCGCCTGAATACCCACGTATGGAAATGTCGAATTTTGCCTTTGATGAATATTCAGGCCTGCCTTCACTTAGGGCGGGCACTTGGCTTGCTGGGGGCCTTAGCCCAGGACAATGTGATGTCTGATAGGGCCCCTTGAGGGCTTGTTCCTCACAGTTTTTTCTCGGAGTTTTTTTTTCTTTTTTTTCCTGCTGGGACCTTCCCCCTGCTTGCACGGCCGGGCCGCCCGGGAAAATAAGGTGACCCGGGCGCCCCGCCTGGTAGCCTAGTCAATCAATCAATCAATCAATCAATCAATCAGCCATGTATATAAGAGCGGTCGCACAATCAATCAAGCGATCGATCAATCAACCAATTATGGACGAGCGGTCTCTCCCTCCCTTATATAGTACCAACATATACATTAGGGGTTTAGAACGTTGGAAGACTTTTTGTCCCATAACTGTTATCACACACTATAAATTACTACTGATATTTGTCTTTTCATTTCCATTATACAAAAAAAAAAATCAATGAATTTTAACATATGTTTGTTACACTCTGGTTGTGGGATCATCGCCCCAGAGGGGGTATCGTAGCAGCAGTTTACTATTTTTGTTCATTTCTCTATCCCTATCCCTATCCCTATCCCTATCGCCATCCTGATCCCTATTCCTATCCCTATCCCTATCGCTATCCCTCCTGCAGCGAAGAGGAACCCAATCAGAGGAGAGAATTGACGAGCTGAGATCTCGAAACGATGAGAAGATGCCCCTCCCTCATGCCATTCTCTCCCCCACCCTCTATTCTTCCTTCCCTCGGTCTATGGGAGCCATTTGTTACAACCCCCTCATCCGTCTTCATCCCCCCCCCCCCCCCCCCTTCTCCCCGCATGGTATCACCTCATGTCGCACTCCTGTCCTCCCCCACCTCCCCCTACATCTCACGTTCCTCCTATGCCAGGCTGTCAAACCTAATCGTCAATGAACAAGCCAATCAACCAATCAACCGATCGATCAATCAATCAACCAACCAACCAATCAACCAATCAAGCAACTGATCAATCAATCAATCAATCATCAGTCAATAATTCAATTGATCAGCAAATCAATCAATAGATGCATTGGCCAGTCAACTAATCAATTAACTGATCAATCAATCAATCAATGAATGAATCAATCAATCGACCGATGGATCGATCAATCAGTTGACCTATGTATTAATCAATCAACCAACAGATCAATCAACAGACCAATCAGTACATCTAGAGGTCAGTCAATCCATCAATCAATCAACCAACAGATCGATCAGTGGATCTAGACGTCAGTCAATCAATCAACGAGTTACTCACTACCTCACTTGCTCACCGACCCACTCAATCAATCAACCAATGGACCTGTCAATTATCCCAAGCATGAGTCGACTCTCTTGTCCGTCAGAAGGATGCCAGTTGGAGTGCACGTTCCAACTCCACAATGAACAGGTCCTACCTTCTTCCCCTGAATACAACGTACAGTCATTTTCGCTGCATCTGGACTGAAATGTGAGCCAAAGAAAATACGGCCATAATGACCGTTCGTGCTATTCGGGGGAAGACGGCAGGAAAGTTAGGTCAGTCCTATTACTATTTCCAGCCTTGGACCTCCTCCGTGCACCAATGCACGGATTCGAACCAGCGTCCTCAACCTCAAGAGCCGAGTGTCATTCTGACGAAAAAAAAAAAGAAAGAAACTCGTACGACAATCAAACGACTTTGATCAGCTTTTGGCACTCTGTTCCTGCTGCTACATCCACGAATCTGTCTTTCTCTAGCTATGCGGCTATGGCCGGCTTCCTTCCTCAGTGCAGCGCTGCTGCCCAGCAGGGCTCTCGCGCGCATGCCACTCTCCCAGATAACGCACAAGCGCTTCAGCAGCACTTCCACACTTCTCACGACTTAATGAGCAATCTCCCCCTGAAATGTGGCTGGCCAGTCTCTGCTTCTTGTGGCTTGGACTGAGCTTCAGCTCGTCCCAGCCTCTGCTTCTTGTGGCTTGACTTGGGCCCGGTACAGTGGTACCACATGCCCACGGCCTGCTTGCTTCAGAATGCCAACGCCTGGTACTGGTACTTTTCCCAAATGAATTTTCGTTGGCGTGCTGCTGCTTGGGCCTGTGAGTCACGACTTCTCACCTGTGGAGCATGACTTTTGACTTTTGACTTTTGACTTTTGAGTGTGGGATGTGACTTTTGCTTCTGGGACACGACTTTTGCCTGGACAAGTGGCCTTTGCCTGTGGGATATGACTTTTCAATACAACTTTTCAAAATGAGACGTGACTTTTGCTTACGAAGTGCAACTTGTTTTCTGCCTCTGGGATGTGACTGTTCACCGGGTGGCCGTTGGACTTGTGACTCCTAAGGTACCTTAGGACTGTGACTTTTCTGAACTGGCCTCCCTTGGCCTCCCTTGGCCTGGGACCTTGACCCTGAAATTCGAATTTGGGGTCTGCATCGTGGAATGTCTTTCAGTAGGTTGTGTTCGGGGGAAGATGGTACTAGTTGACCTTATTTGGGGTCTGCATCGTGGAATGACTTTATTTTGTTCTGTTAGTGCTTCGCATTCGGAGTGTCACACTCTTTGTGACAGATCAATTGTTGTGTGGGACCATGATTGTGTTCCACTCCATGTGGTTCCACAACAGTGTGGCACTCTTTATGACCGAGCGATTGCTGTGCGGAGCCATTGTGCGGAGCCATTGCATTGTCGCACCTGTTTTGCTTAGACTGGCTGATCGATTGCCGGTTGCTGTACGGGGGCATTGTGTTGTCGCTTCTTTTTGTTCGACCTTGTTGTGCTGTGTGTGGCAGTCTGAGTCGCTGCTTGCTGTAGGCCTCTGCTCTGTTGGCTGGTCCCATCGCTTATGACAGATAGATTGCTGTGTAGAACCATTGCATTGTCGCACCTGTTTTGCTTTCACTGGCTGATCGATTGACGATTGCTGTATCGGGGCATTGTGTTGTCCCTTCTTTTTGTTTGAGCTTCTTGTGCCGTGTTTGACAGTCCGATTCGCTGCTTGCTGTAGATCTCTTCTCGGTCGGTTGGTGGTCCCACCGATTGTGCCGGATTGATTGCCATGTGGAACCATCGCGATGTCACACTTGCGGCGAGGAACCATCGCGATGTCACACTTGCTTTTCCTATCTTGTTTATAAGCATCCAGATTGACTGCAGGACCATTGTACTGCCACACTCTTTTCTGAGGTTGTTGTGCTGTGCGTAGCAGTCTGAGTCGCTGCGGTAGATCTCTGCTCTGCCGGTCGGCCCCATTGCTTATATGCCAGATTGAGTGCTGTGCGGAATCATCACGTTCTGGCGTCTGTTTCCCTGCTTATTATCTTTCTTTACATGCATGCCGATGACTGCCAGACAGGCCATTGTATTGCCGCACTCTTTTCTGAGCCTGCTCTGCTGTGTGTGACAGTCTTGCATGCAGATGGACTGCCAAACAGACCATTGTATTGCTGCACTCTTTTCTGCACCTGCTCTGCTGTGTGTGACAGTCTTGAGTCACTGTACGTCTGCGCTTTGTCGATGAGTCCTGTGGTTTGTGTCAGCCTACATTGTGCTGTCCGAGAGAGTACAGCTGGTGTCGATCTCGGCGAAATCTGATCTCTGCTCTGCTCCTGTTCGTCAGACTGTGCAGAGGTGCGAGCTTCCGGAAGGTACTGCTCAGTGCATGGTGAGTTCAAGGGCGGTGGAAACTGCAGGTTCATGACCTGGTTCGGTGAACGTGCAATCGGTCGACTGGTTACTACAGTAGGTCAAGTTAGGAAAGGAACTCCGCCAAAGAGTACTGAGTGAGTGCCAAAATGGCGCACAGGTGTGGCGCTGTTGGTGTGTCGGCTCGGGCTGCTGCTGCTCAGTCGGCGACACTCACACATTCTGCAGCAGCACTGTCGAAAGAACTGTTTGGCGGCGCACTTCTTCACTCTGGTGCAGTCGATTCCTCACGTGCGGCGAAGTTCGTGCATGCTGGCCGTCTTTCTAACTTTGTCACTGATGTCGCCAGTTCGAATCTTGCGCTTTCGTCGTCGTCGACATCCTCGTCACGCAGCGCAATTGACCGATCAGCCGCTGCAGCAAGGGACGCTCGCCGCTTCCGCAGAACTGCTGTGTCCATGTGTCGCTTTCTCAACATTCTATCCATGCGCCGCTTTCCGGGGATCCCTTCCACATGCCGCTCTCCGCAAACTTTGATCTCGACTCCAACGACGTCGTCGTCTGTGGTCAGTAGTTTCGCAGCTCTTTCCGGATCGTTGCCAGCAAGTGGGTGGAAAGAGAGAGGCATGTTGAAGGCTTCATCGTTGAGCGACGTGTCACGAAGGCGGGGTGATGGGTCGTCGGCCGAATGCAAATCGTCTCCCTGCTGGGGTAAGAGGAGAGGGGTTGGGGGTGTTTCTCAGGCAGAAAGGACGGTCTATAGCAGTTCAGCGGCTGCGCAAGCGTCAGATGAACTGGCCACCACGTCAGCGGTGGAAACTGACCAAGGCAGGAGAACGGAGGAGGGGGCACAAGATGCGCTTCGCTCGGAGAGAAACACGTGGCCTAGCGATTGGCGGGGCTTCCCTGCCTTAGGCGCCAGAGAGAGGAAGGAACTTCGGGCTTATGCGAACGGACTGGGGAAATCGTTAGTCGTATGGCAGATTGGTAAATCTGGCATCAGCAATTCCGTCGTTTCGTCAGTGACGGAGGCCTTAGAAGCCAACGAACTAATCAAGGTGAAGATTCTAGATAATTGCGAGGACGATGTGTCTGTGGTCGCAGATAAGCTGGAGAGAAAGACGAAGTCCCAGGTCGTCGGGAAAGTAGGACGGACCCTGCTGCTCTATCGCCCAAGCTTGCGCAAGGCTAGAGAAGCAGCTGCAGCAGATTCTTCTGAAGTAGGGAGTGCGCGTAGGGGCCGATCTGGTCCAAACTCAAGGTACCGGTCGGGACCTTCAAGAAGTCCCAGATCAAGTTCTCAAGGATCATAGTGATAATGGCGATAGTCCTTTTCTGATTGACAAGAGGTGTTGTCTCTCCTTGTTGACGGGCTTTACTCATTTTTCTCAACCCACTCACCTCATGTACAAGAGAGAGAGAGAGAGAGAGAGAGAGAGAGAGAGAGAGAGAGAGAGAGAGAGAGAGAGAGAGAGAGAGAGAGAGAGAGAGAGAGAGAGA